CATAGTGTTTCCATTTCCCCTTTCCATGCTTTGTGCTATGGTTACTACATATTTTAATTTTAAATATAAAACATACTCCGCAATACACTATTATTTTTTATTTAGAATGTCTTTTTTAAACAGCTTTATTGATATACAATTAGTCTTTTAAAGTGTACAATTCCATCACTTTTCATATAGTCCTGAGTTGTGCAACTATTACCACAGTAAGTTTTTGAACATTTTCATCATTCCATAAAGAAATCCTATATCCATTAGCAGTCATCCCCATTTCCCCAACCCTCTACAGCCTGAGACAATCCCCAACCTACCATTTGTCTTTATAGATTTGCTCACTCTGGGTATTTCATATAAATGGAATCATATAATATGTAGCCTTTTTTTGCTAAGCATGTTTTTTTTTTTTCCTGAATAATAGTCCATTGAATGGCTCTACCACATTTTACTTAGCAGTTGATAGAATTTAAGTTCTTTCTACTTTCTAGCAATTATGAACAATGCTGCTATCAACATTGATATACAAGGATCTCTGTAGACGTATGTTTTCATATCTCTTGATATGAATTGCTGGGCCATATGGAAACTCTGTTTTTAACATTTTGAGGAACTGCCAAACTGTTTGCCACAGTGGCAGCACCTTTTGACATTTCCACGGCAATGTATGAGGGTCCCCATTTCTTCTCACTGATGCCTGTTACTGTCTTTTTTTTATTAGTAGTATAGCCATCCTTGAGGATGTGAAGTGGTGTACCTGTGTCTTTTTTAACTGGTGTGGTAAAGTACACATAAACATACATAAATGGTGTGGTAAAATATTCATAACTGTTTGAATCCCTGTTTTCAGTACCTTGGGTATACCCCTTGAGTGGAATTGCTGGATTATTTGGTAACTCTGTTTTCCACAGTGGCTGTACCATTTTACATTTCCATCAGCAGAGAGAGAGAGAGAGAGAGGGAGGGACATGTGTAGTTTAATGGTAGGTATATGTTCTGCTTTGTTAGACTATTTTGTCATGGGTAAACATCATAGAGTATACTTAAACATAGATGGTATATACATTTTTTATTTATATATATTTCTCATATGGAAAAGTAAATGTCTCAGCACCATTACCGAGTATAAATAATTTCCCCGACTTAATATATAATGTCGATATCAAGTGCCATGTATCAGGTTTCTTCTACATATGCTCCATTATAAACTATGGCACTACCGTCATATATGTGGTCTGTTGTTGATTAAAACATCATTATATGGCATATGACAAGCATATGTATGCCATCCTAATGAATGGGAAGTGGTATCTCATTGTGGTTTTGGTTTTCTTTTTCTTCTGTTTTTTTTTTTTTGAGATGGAGTCTTGCTCTGTCGCCAGGCTGGAGTGCAGTGGCATGATCTTGGCTCACTGCAATCTCTGTCTCCCAGGTTCAAGGGATTCCCCTGACTCAGCCTCCCAGGTAGCTGGGATTACAGGCACGCACCACCATGCCCAGCTAATTTTTTGTATTTTAGTAGAGATGGGGTTTCACCATGGCCAGGATGGTCTCCATCTCCTGACCTCGTGATCCTCCCGCCTCAGCCTCCCAAAGTGCTGGGATTACAGGCGTGATGGTTTTGGTTTTCTTGTGCTTATTTGTCCATTTGTATCTTCTCTGGACAAATGTCTACTCAGGTCATTTATTCATTTTAAAATTGGGTTATTTGAGGTTCTTTGTCTTTTTACTATTGAGTTGTAAGAGTTATTCTGGATACAAGTCCCTTATCAGTACATGATTATATTACAGTAAATCATGTACTGATAAGGGACTTGTATCCAGAATAACTTTTACAATGGAAATGTCTTTCCCATTCTGTGGGTTGTCATTTTACTTTCTTGATGGTTGTTTTGAAGCACAAACATTTTGTTAAATTTTAATTCCAATCTACTGTGTTGCTGCGTTTTTGCTATATCTAACAAGTCGTCATCTAATCAGAGGTCGTAAAGACTTACTCTTGTTTTATCTTCTAAGTGTTTGTAGTTTTCTTGCTTACATTTAGGTCTCTGATTTACTTTGAGTTAAATTTTGTGTGATATGAGATAGGGGTCCACATCACTCTTTTGCATGTGGCTATCCAATTTTTCCAGCACCATTTGTTGCAAAGACTGTGCTTTGCCAATTGAACGGTCTTGGCCCCTTTGTTGAAAATTAATTGGCCATAAATATAAGAGTTTATTTCTGAACTCTTAGTTTTATTAAGGTGATTGATATGTTTATCCTTGTGCCAGTATAACATAGTTTTGATTATTATACCTTTGTAGAAGTTCTGAAATCCGAAGTATGAGTCTTCCAAATTTGTTCTTTTTTCAAGATAGTGTTGGCTATTTTGGGTGGGTCCCTTGCTGTGCAGAAAACAGTTAAACATAGAAAGCATAACTGTTTATGCTTAGGAATGCTCTCCTGTAAGGTTGACTCTTGGGTGGCCTCTAGAAACCTAGGTTTCTGATCAGGGTGGCTTACTATGCCTAAACTGTTAATACAAACAGCATGGGTTTATGCAGAACACCTGCTCTCCAGCTGGGAATCTGACATTTTGGTACAGGCTAGGCAGATGTGCCTACATGCAGAAGGTGCCTGATGAAAATCCTGGGCACTGAGTTTCTAATGAACTTTTTATTGTGAGAATCTGTTGGTTTTGTCAAGTTTTGTTCCTTGCATTTATTCAGATGACCACCTGTTTTGCTTTGTATTCTACTAATATGGTGTATGACACTGACTTTCATATGGTGACCCGATCCTGCATTCCTGGGGTTAATCCCACTTAGTCATGGTGTATAATACTTTGCTAGTATTTTGTTCAGAAATTTTGTGTCTATGTTTGTGAGCTTATTGATTAGTAGTTTTCTCTTTCCTTGTGATGTCTTTGGTTTTGGTGGCAGGATAATACTTGCCTCATACAATATGTTGGGAAATGGTTCCTCTTCAGTGTTTTGTAAGAGTTTGTGAAAGGTTGGTATTAACTCCTTCTTGTTTGATAAAATTCACTAGACTATCTTTTAAAGATATTTAAAATGAGAGAAATACCTTTTACATTTAGTCTCTTTTCTCCTTATTCTATTATTTTGTGTAGACCTGTATTTCCATTTGTATCATGCTCCTTTTGTATGCAGAGCTTACTTATTCTATTTATTTAAGAGATAGGATCTCACTCTGTCACACAGGCTGGAGTGCAGAGTGCAGTCATCACTCACTGCAGCATCAAACTCCTGGGCTTAAGCAATCCTCCTATCTCAGCCTCCCAAATAGTTGGGAGTACAGTGTGCCACCACACTCAGCTAATTTATTTATTTATTTATTTTTTGGAAGACGTGGTTTCACCGTGTTGGTCAGGCTGGTCTTGAACTCCCGACCTCGGGTGATCCGCCTGCCTTGGCCTTCAAAGTGCTTGGATTGCAGGCATGAGTCACCACGCCCGGCCTGCACTCAGCTAATTTTTTTAAAAAAATTATTTTTTATATAAGGCTAGCTCTATTGCCAATACACCTAGCTAATTTTAAAACTTTTTTTTTTTTTTTTTAGATACAGGCTAGCTATGTTGCTCAAGTTGGTGTTGAAGTGGCCTTAAGCAATCCTTCTGCCGTAGCCTCTCAAATAGCTGGGATTACAGGCAGCAGCCACTGACTGGAAGCACCTGAACAGTTTACTCTAATATTTCTCATAGTTGCAGATTTGTTTATGATGAATTGCCTCAGCTTTCATTTGTCTGAAAAGGCTTTCAGCAGTTTTAGGATATAATACCATTGACTGGCAGTTTCTGACAAAATTTTGCTATAATTCTTAACTTTGTTCCTCAGCATGTGATGTGCCTTTTTGTGTGTGATGCTTTGATGATTTTCTCTTCTGGGGCTGGGCACGGTGGCTCACGCCTGTAATTCCAGCACTTTGGGAGGCTGAGGCCGTGGATCAGTTATGGTCAGGAGTTCGAGATCAGCCTGGCCAACCTGGTGAAACGCTGGCTCTAGTAAAAATACAAAAATTAGCCAGGCATTGTGGCATGTGTCTGTAATCTCAGCTACTCAGGAAGCTGTCTCAGAAAAAAATTTTTTTTCTCTTTCTCTTCTTTTTATTTTTCAGTCATTTGACCATGATCTGCCTTGGTGTGACTTTCTTTAGGTCTGTTCTCCCTATGGTTCATTGACTTTCTTGGATTTGTGGATTCATAGTTTCATCAAATTTGGGAATTTTTTCACCTATTATTTCTTCACATATACTCACTGTTATCCACATTTCTCCTTTCCTTCTGGACTGCAGATGCACGTACACTAGACCGTTTGGTATATTTCTACAGAGAACTGATTATCTTCAGTTTTTTCATTTCATTGTGAATTGTGTCTATTATTACGTTTTCCTGTTTATTGATCTTTTCTTCTAGTGTCTACTCTGCTATTAGTGGATTTTTCATTTCACACTTTTTTCCTTTTTAGAAATCCTATTTAGGTATTTTTTGTGTCTTTCATCCCACTCTTCATCATGTTCATGTTTCCTTTTCATCTTTGAGTATATGTATAATAAGTAGCTACTTTAAGGCTTTTGCTCCTTTTTTCTGAACTCTTGTTATTTCTGGGCCCTTTTCTATTGACTAATTTTTCTCCTGATTATGGGTCACAATTTCCTGTTTCTTTGTATGTCTAGTACAATTTTATTGGATGCTTGATATTTTGAATTTTGCACAGGTTAAGTGTTGGAATCTGTTTTCTTTAGAGTGTTTTGCCTTTCTAGAAACTTTTGGATGGTTGATCAAGTAGCCTTTGTTGTAGAATTAATTTGTCCATGCTTCTAATGTGTGGTCATACTAGGTTCCCTAATAAATGCCCCATATAGTTGATAAGGCCTCTACACTCTAGCTAGAGAGGATGTGAATTCTTTCTCATTGTGAGCTTCAAGGAAATGTTCATCCTACAGATCCCTAATATTTTTTCATGGGAAGTTATTCTTGCCGGGCTTCATGAGGTTTCATGCTATATATATTCAGATCACTATTCAACCAAAAAATTGAAGAGGGGACTAATATGTGGGGTTTTTGTTTTGTTTTTATTTGCATAGCTCTGTTCCTTCCAGGACTCTGCCCTGCAAATTCAACCTGCCTTGGCCTCCTTGAGCCATGATCTCTGGCTCGGCTCAGTGGGATCATTAGACTCATGTCTTACCTAGTGACACTTCCCCGAAATAAGCCGGAGTGGTCTGTTCGGTGACTACAGTACTGCAATGCCTGCCATCCAGTCTCTGAAAATACCGGCTCATGTATTTTGTCGAGTTTCTGGTAGCTTACAGTGCAAGGGTATCCTGGACCGTCTTTCCTCTGCATGGTCCGCAGCGCACCTCCATTGAGTCTGCAAGTGTTTCATCTGTTGGCTCTGTTGGCTCATCTCCATTATAGGCTGCCCGCGCTTCCACTGGCAGCACTTGGGGTGTCCTGTGGCAGGACTGAGCTAGCTCTGAAGCCGACTCCCTCTCCTCACTCCCTGCCTTTTCTCCCTTACCTTTTGCAGAAAAGGTGTGAGCGGTACTGGGCCCAAGAGCAGGAGCCACTGCAGACTGGGCTTTTCTGCATCACTCTGGTGAGCTGTGGGAGGTTTTAAGGAAGATTCCTAGGATGGAAAGCCTTTGGGTTGGGCCTGAAAGGATGAATAATTTCTCCCACAGTCCATTCACACTGTAGGAAACTTCTTGGTGTTAGCCTGCAAATAGTTCGATATATGCATAGCCTTTGCATTTTTCTTTGATTTCCTGACGCTGCAATCAGTTATCTCTGTCATGTAAATGTGCCTGATTAGGTTCTTGAAAAAATTCTCTTATCATTTCCAAAGAGCTTGGGGAAATCTCTCAAGTCATACATATAGTTAGTACTTAATACAATAAAAGTTTCATTTTAGAACAAAAGAAATCTCTTTTCACCGCAAAAGGGCTTGTGTTTTTATCATAGATCCTCTTTTTCTCCTGTGTCAAATGTTTCCTTAATGAAAGCTTTGGGGAAAGTTTGCGCTATATGAATTTTTTAAAATGTTTTCTGTATTTGATTTTTTAATCAGGAATGCTTTGCTTTGGATAAATGACTTTTGGTACCTGTGATCTTTTTCTCCTCCCTTTTCTTACTTGCCCCTCCTCTTACTTAGCTTAAGGAGAAGCAACTGAATGAGGACATCGTGCTCAGGACCCTCAAGGTCACACTCCAGAAGGTACTGACAGGGGAGGAGGAGGTAAAGGGGCTCCTGCAAGGGGAGAGGTTTTCTCCCCTGTAAAAATAGGCATCATACTAGTACCCACCTCCTCAGTTATTATCTGGTAGATATAAACGGCAGATGCCTAGAGTGGGCCTGGTGTATAGTTGATGCTCAATTAATGGTGTTTTATTTTTTTCCTAAGTCTTTTGCTAGTCTTTTTCTGTGTTTCAGGAGTCCCGCTCCGTGTACCAGCTGCAGTATATGTCCTGGCCAGACCGCGGGGTCCCCAGCAGTCCTGACCACATGCTCGCCATGGTGGAGGAAGCCCGTCGCCTCCAGGGATCTGGCTCTGAACCCCTCTGTGTCCACTGCAGGTTTTGGAAATGAGCTTCATGAGGGTCTGGTGAGGGAGGGGACAGGGCAGGAAGGGGAGCGCAAGGCCTGGGGCTGGTCTTGCAGTCTGAGTGCCTATTTTGAGAGACCCTGCTCACCGGCATAGACTATAATTGTGAGCACTTGTTCGGCACAGACTGGGCTGGGGAGTAAGCACACAGCTGCTGCCCAACCAAATGTAAGTGATTCAAAAGGTTTCCCTTGTTCAAATACAATCTGGAGATTCTGGGAATCAAGAGGTTCAGCAGGGCCCTCACCCCATCCCCAAACGTGCTCAGGCCGACTAGGCACGCTCCGATTCCCTTGTCAGCGCGGGCTGCGGGCGAACAGGCGTCCTGTGCACCGTGGATTATGTGAGGCAGATGCTCCTGACCCAGGTACGACGTGGGCATCCTGTGTGTGCAGTGTGCCACCCATGACCACGTGTCCTGCTCAAGTGCCTTGTGTGTCTGTCCCAGATGATCCCACCTGACTTCAGCCTCTTCGACGTGGTCCTTGAGATTCGGAAGCAGCGGCCTGCAGCCGTGCAGACCGAGGTGAGCCCTGGGTCTCCTAATCTTCAAGGACAGCGGCCCACTGCTGTCATTCCGCCCCTGCCTTCCCTTCCTGATGGCCTCTCATCCCAACAGGAGCAGTACAGGTTCCTGCACCACACGGTGGCTCAGATGTTCCGCTCCACACTCCAGAATGCCAGCCCCCTCTACCAGAACCTCAAAGAGGTACAGAGACCCCTTTCCCACTCTCCTGTCCACCATCAGCACCCTCAGAGACCAGGACCCTGAGCAAGGTCCAGCACCCAGGACTCCTGGGAGCAGTCATGACTACGACATCCACCTGTGCCCTCCTCCGGGCACCCTTATCGGGCAGTCCCCTCTTAATCTTTCTCCCAGAACCCTGCGAGAGGCCTGGCCAGTTTCCTCCCTCAGGAGCCTCCCTCCTGTTTTCCCCCAGAATTGTGCCCCAGTGTACGACGATGCCCTCTTCCTCCGGACGCCCCCAGCGCTTCTCGCCATACCCCGCCCACCAGGAGGGGTCCTCAGGTACCCGGCTCTATCCCCGCAGTCTTCCCTGCCCAATTTCTCAGGCTAACCCCTTCCTCATCCTTGGAACACCAGTCCTTTCCCTGTTCACTTCGCCAAGTGTTCGCTGGCCCTTTCTTCGAATTCAGCTCTGGGAACGCCCTCCAGGCTGATTCATTTATCCCAGTGGTCCCCTTGCCTCTGCCTCTAAGGCTGGCCCTGCCTTCTGAGGTTAGGCCTTTCCTGGATCCTCCAATCAAAACGTAATTCAGGTGGCTCACGCCTGTAATCCCAGCACTTCTGGAGGCCACGGAGGGCGGATCCCTTGAGGCCAGTTGGAGATCAGCGTGGTTAACATGGTGAAACCCTATCGCTACTAAAAATACAAAAATTAGCCAAACGTGGTGGCGGGAGCCTGTTAGTCCCGGCTGCTCGGGAGGCTGAGGCAGGAGAGCCGCTTGAGCCCGGGAGGTGGAAGGTTGCAGTGAACCAAGATCGCACCACCGCACTCCAGCCGGGGCGACAGAGCGAGACCGTGTCTCAAAAAACAATTCAGCACATATTTCTAGATGCTCCCCACTTGTCAGGCCCCACGTTGGGTGCTGCGGGCATGGGACCGAGCTGCCTTCACAGCGACTTCAGGCCTGCGTCTTGCGGCCATCCCTTCCGGGGTCTGTGCCGCTTCCGCATTCTTTTATACAACAGACACAGACACAGAAGTGCCCACCCCCCACATCAACACCCTGCCCCATTTACCGCCAGGCCGCCCCCGTTCCTCCTTCCTCCGCCTAACTTGCGGGGCGCTAGGGGCACAGGAGCGAGGCCCGCCAGGGCACCCTCCCTCCGTCCGCGCCGCCCCAGCGGGGAGGAAGCCCGCGGTTTGCGCGCCAGCAGTCTCCGCACTCCCGCCCTGCGCAGCGCCGCCGTTTCACTTCCTCCCGGGCCTCCCTGCCTGCAGGAGCATCTCGGTGCCCGGATCCCCGGGCCACGCCATGGCTGACACCTACGCGGTGGTGCAGAAGCGCGGGGCTGCAGCGGGGGCCGGGACAGGGCCCGGGCCGCGCAGCGCGGAGGACGCGCCACTCTACAGCCAGGTGACGCCGCGCGCCCAGCGGTCCGGGGCGCACGCGGAGGACGCGCGGGGGACACTGCCTGGCAGCGGTGAGTCGAGGTCGGCGCGGGGTGGGGGGCGCCGGCGCCCACTTGTTCCTTCTCTGGGCACCCTCCTGCTGTGGCCCACAGGGCCCTGGCCGGCGCCGGGACCCCAGCCGCTAGCCCGGCCACGCCCCCATGCTGGCGCCCTGGCTCCCTGGCCACGCCCCGGAACCCCCAGGCGGTCGCAGCCTCGGTGCTGGGTTCTGGAAGTTACGAGCTGGCGGATCTGGGCCGCGCCCCAAAGGCTCGAGGCCACGCTCGGGGGGGGGGGGGGGGAAGCGGCCCCGCCCGGGGTGGGGTCTTGGGATTCCCTGGGGCCTCCAGAGCTGACCCGTGGGGGTCTCCTGCCCTCAGTTCCTGCAGACCAAGGCCCTGCCGGATCTGGCGCCTACGAGGACGTGGCTGGTGGAGCTCAGACCGGTGGGCTGGGTAAGTCAGGTATAGCCTGGGTTGCTGGGACTTTGCTGCTTTGAGTGAACCCCAGGAGTTTGGGGCAAAGGGATGGGGGCCTGGAGCTCAGTCCTGTGGATGTGGCTGCAGTGAACCGTGAGGACCTGAAGGTGGGGGATTGGCCTTCTTCATGTTTGCCTCCGCACACCTCAGCTTCTCCATGAGACCCACAGCACCCTTCCCCTCCCAGGCTTCAACCTGCGCATTGGGAAGCCGAAGGGGCCCCGGGACCCGCCTGCTGAGTGGACCCGGGTGTGAGTCTGCGCCAGCTCCTGCCTTTTGCCTCGTGTGAGCTTGGACTACTGATGCCCCAGCGCTGCCGAGTGCCGTGCGCCGAATGGAAACAGTGGGCCTGGATCAAAATAAAAGTTTCTCAGGGTGGGAAATGTGGGGGCTTTGCCCCAGTGACTGTAGCATTCAAGGCTTGAGGCTGGAGAAGGTAGGTAGGTTATAATGGCTGGTGAGAGCAGATTCAAGAAAGAACGTCGGGAAGGGGCATGGCCCCTGAGTTGTGAGGGGGAGAATGGACAGATGGGCTTCCAGAGACTGCTGCCCGCACCACATGACGCACTAGTCCATCATCAGCACCTGAGCCTCCCTCACTTGGACACTCAGGTGACCACACAGAGAAATGGATGGACCCCTAGCCATCCAGGCATATCCAAGCCAGGCATAAGCACAGCCAAGCAGACTAATCCCAGGCAGACCGATAAAAAGACCTCCAGATAGCCGAGTGCCGTGGCTCACGCCTGTAATCCGAGCACTTTGGGAGGCCGAGGTGGCTGAATCACCTGAGGTCAGGAGTTCAAGACCAGCCTGGCCATCATGGTGAAACACCATCTTTAAAAAAAAAAAAATACCTCCAGATAGGCAGACAGACAGATGGACCACCAACCTGGACACATAGCCAAACCTTCAGAGATACAGTCCACAGGTGGACAGAGGACCCCAGCCAGAGAGACAGACCAGCCAACAGCTTGACAGAATAGTCCAGCCAGACAGACCACCAAACAGAGCCTCCAAAACACAGACATCTCTGCCAGCTGGATGGCCAGGTGGACCCCTAAGTTAGACAGATTACTAGACAGATAAACAGGTCCCCAGCTGAACAGACACACAGACTTCTCAGACCCCAACCCCACTCCCAGGTGGGCTGGCTGGTTGACAAACCTTCTGGCCAGACAGACTCCTGAGTAGGCAGATGGACTGCCAGACAGACACATCAGTCACACAGAATCCTGACATCCCAGCCAGCCGGCCAGATTCCCATCTTGATGGATGGACCCCAGTTGGTCGGACATGATTCTTCAGATTGACAGAGAAGTCCCCCAAATAAGTACACATCTCTAGCTATTCAGACAGATGGACCCCCACCAAATCTATCTAGACAGACCTCAGCCGGAAAGACCCCCAACCAGACTGACCCCTTGCTGTTTACACAGCCTCCCAAGTAGCTGGAACT